TAGGTGAAACAGGTCGTAAATTAGAAAAACGTATTAAAGAACATAAGGCCGCTATACGGTTAAAAAATAATAATTCACCATGGTATAATCACGTAATTCAGAATAATAATTGTAAATTAGATAAAAATAATGTACAAATATTACATAATGAAAAGAATATTTATAAGAGAAAATTTAAAGAGCATGTTGAAATAATGAAATATAATAATAATAATAGCAATCAATTAATAAATGTATCTAATGGAATGCAAATAGATCAACGATGGTATTCTGTAATAGAGGAAATTGACAGATGAAGTCATGAAGTAGAATAGTCAAAGGGGGCATGTCATTTAGAATTGTACTGACCATTGAACAGAAGCCTACAGTATGATTTATTGTAAACGGTATGTTACTTAAAAATTAAATTTTATAAGTTATATTTAATCACCATTTTTTAAGAATCCTATAGAAAATGTTTTTTAAAATTTATTTTTTAAAAATTTTTTAAAATTTGGTATTGTTGTGAATAATTATAGATAAAGATTTAATCTAGAATAATATTTATTATAGTAATTTAGAAACACGACCATAGATATTTAGAAAACGTTACTAAATACACTTGATATGAAAGTGCTAATGAAATGTGTATTCTAAGCTGTGTACCTAAATGGTAATAAAAAAGTAAAATATTAATTGTTATATTGGTAGTTTTACTCGCATAAGGTTTATTATAATATTTATATTTTGTTGTACTGAAGAGGGTTCTTTAATAGGACCGAAATGCATATACAGTGATTAAATAAAGAGTAGTAATTAGCTATCTGCTATGTGTTGGTCTACCGCTAAACCTAAAATTTATATATTTTTCGTGCGGATTTACAGAGACTTTATAATATTCATATATAAACAGCAGTCATAAGAAATTTAATTGCAATTTCACCTAGCATAAGATAGATACAGGCAATAAGTCCTCCACTCTATCAAGCTCAGTATCGCATTAAATATTCATAGCGAAAAATTATAAAGAAATTAATAGAGGACGTGACGGAAATGGGGTAGTTGAAACATCAAGCTTCCCATTCTCATTGCCAGCATTATTTGTCAAGAAATCTGATCTAAATTATCGATTTGTCATAGATTATAGACAATTAAACAAAGTGACAAAAATGAACCCTTACCATTTGCCATTGATACATGAATCATTAAGCTTATTAGGCAAGACTAAATATTATTCCACGATGGACACATTCAGCGGTTATTGTCTGTCTGCTTTGCAGAGGTTGAAGATGTTGACATCTTCTGAGATCACCTGATTATAGTCAACCTTCTGTGTTGGCAACTGATGCGTCCAATGCAGCCATAGGCGCAGTGCTGTCGCAGGAAGAAGAAAGTGGAGATCTTCCTGTGGCATACCTAAGTTAATTGCTCAATAAGGCTGAGCGAAACTACAACACAACCAAGAAGAAACGCCTAGCAATCATTTGGGCAATGAGATATTTTAGGGCGTACCTGTATGCTAGAAAGTTTAACTACTCTACAGTGATCGAGGATATATCCATCAAAGGCAATCACATGGCACTGGTGAACAACATCTAAATTCTCAAAAGAATTTTGTGGATATCACCATAAACTAGCCAAAAACTACCGCAAAAAATTCACATAAAAAAGGAATTATGTGACATTAAAAAAATTTTCTTTACTAGAAAAACAGTTTTAAAAGTTTTTTCTGAAATAGTAATGAGAAAAACGTGTGGAAAAATACTTTAAAAATTTTCCACTTTTATTCTCCACTACATCATGATAGTGCCATAGCTGACTAACCCAATGTACAAAGGTTAACATTATAGCAGACACTAGACCTCTTAGATGGCTCATATAACAGACACTAGACCTCTTAGATGACACATAAAGAGAAAAGATGAGAGTTTGAGATTAAGTAGATAAAATTTGACATTGCAACATATCAGTTTGAGATTATTCACAATCGTGGGAAGGCCCACACCAATGCGGACACATTGAGTCTAGTGTAAATAACATCCATTAACAATATACATTCCATACACAGCGAGACACAGATCTGAGGGCAGCAACAGAGGGATCCTTTTTTGCATAGAGATTAGATGGCGCTTAACAAAGACCTTGACATCACAAGAACAGAGTCCGAGTCCCCAGAGTAGAGAATTCTACTTAGTTGCAAAGCAGACATTATGCCAAAAAAATCAAATCCCAAAAAACGAAATATGGGATAGATTGGTTTATCCCCAAAACATGGTCAAATATGTCTTGAAGATGTTTTATGAGATCCCTAGTTTGGAACACTTGAAGATGAACAAATTCAAAAAACAGTTGCAGAAGCAATTCTATTGAACAGATATGAACAAGGACATATTACTCTATTGTCAGTCATGTGAGGAGCATAGTATGCGAAAAAAAAGCAAGGACATTATTGCTCTCTTACAGATATTTTGCAGGATTACTAAGGTGTTTGAGAAGACAGTACTTGATATTTAAGACCTCTTTCCCACTATTTGTAATAGCAATAAGTATCTATTGGTCTTTGTAGATCATTTTTGCATTGTGCAGAGGCAGTGCTGTTGCCCAACATTATCGCAAAAACAGTAGCAAAGGCATTTGTTATGCAGGTAATTTTGAGATACTAGGTTCCAATACAAGTTACTGACCAATCGAAGCACAAATTTCACTTCAAAGATGATGCAAAAGGATTTTGATCTTTTTCATATAGAGACTTTTCAGAACTGCTTACCACCCACAGTGCAATGGGATGGTTGAATGACTAAACAAAGCCTTGGTGAATATTTTGATGCATTACGCAGATGTAGACCAACGCAATTGGGATAAAATGCTTCCTTTTGCATTCTTTGCATACAACACTGCATACATTCCAGCACAAATGAGAAACTCTACTACCTAGTATATGGGAGAGATCTGGTTTATCTATTTGATGTGGTCACCGAACCTAGCAGAGTTAGTTACGATGCTAGTGAGAAACTATACGAATGAACTAAAGTAAAGGTTAACTTTAGCCCATGGATTAGACAACAGAAACATGCAGTAAAGGCAGCACAAGACAGACAAGTGTACCATCAGCGCAAAAATAAACTCCATAAAGTTTTGTAGGTGACTAAGTCTTCGTAACGAAGGTAAAGGTCCCATCAGGGTTGAAAAGGAAATTAGTACCTAGATGGCAGCGAACGTATAGGATTATAGCACAGACAAGTCCAGTTGACTATGTCATCTAACATATCAAGACGAAAAAAAGGTTACACACTCATGCAAATCGACTGAAACCGTGTGAATGGAGTTTGAATCTTATATATGCATAGTCCAGATTCAGGGAAATCTGAGACCTAGGCCTCGAAAGTACAAACTCCCAAAATACTAGAACCCTGGGAATAACTTATCCTGGATTTGCTGCAATCAGTTCACACAGTGCCAAAGGAAACGATAAAAACTGATCAGCAAGTCACCTCAGTGCAATCAGCGCGTAGATATGCCCTAAGAAATCTGGATCTATTAGACGAATATCCGTGGTTTCTCCCCAAAACGAGTAGGCATGAGCAGAGAAGAGAGGCTCTCAACTGAAACGCGAATGACAGAGAAGCGTCAATGTCCCAAAATCAGAGTTCAGAATATTTTCCACATCCTATGCCAATTGGTCTGTTTATGCAGTGTAATGGTGAGCTCTTATTATGGAAGAGGTCATCATACAAAAAACGAAAATGTATAAGACAAACACTTGAGTGAACCGAATTTTCGTAAAACGGACTAATATCTGTGTAATATTTTCATTGTAGATCATGAGTGTTTAGTCATAGAAACAAGTTTTTCAAATTCAAAACTGTTGTCAAGAAAACAAAAAATTATTAGGAAAAATAACATTGTCACGAATGGAACAGGGATGAATTTGTCAGAGAATGAGTAGTTTATATAATCAAATTTAAAAGTTTAAAAAAAAATTTATTTCCAAATGCCCGTGCATGATAACCACATCTGTCAAAGTTAAAATGAGGCACAGAAAACAATGATGGAAGATGATGAGCAACAATCAGAGGGAAAATGAAATAGTTCCTTGTCTTTCTCTGTGAACGGTTTTTGTAAAGTAAATCTTAGCGTTCGTTATCTATAACTACCTAATCCGAGTTAATTACTTTTGAGTCCTTTGTTTTTTTCTAATCTTTTATCCCAGATTTTACCTATAGCACCACTCACTCTCGTGATTGGATTCACATCTTGTGTCACAATATGCAAACCTAAACCCTTAGAATTCTCATTGAAGTCTAGGCGAGACAGACAACAAGAGAATTGCCAAGAAAAGAGGGTACATGAAGCCTACTCTGTACGTGGAAATAATTCGAAATGGAAGAATTAGAAGTACTATCCGTTTCAACTTGTAAAGCTTGTTCGATCATATCTGAAACTTCTTATTATGCTGAAATAAATTTGACATAAATAATATAATGTTTCTTCATTAAACTTGTATTTAAAAAACTATTTATTTGAATAAACTCACGTTCATCATAAAAATAGCATACCATTTCATTAGCCAATAATCACTGACATTTGTAATAGATTGTACTACAACTAGCATTAGTAATAACAATATCCTGAAGAGAAAACTTGATCCAGCATTCAAATATTCTTTATAGACTGAAGTTTCTATTGTTCCAACTTCTACATCGTCAGGTGGTACTTTTTTATTTTCATTTTCCTACGAAAAGTATTTTTAAAATTATATAAAATATTCATTAAATTTTTTTAAATCTATTAGTAAATATTTCAATACGAATTGTCAGGAATAAAAATTCCAAGGTATCATTTTTTCATAAAACTGAAAATCGGATTCGTACACGAAGTAAACACCTACTCAGTATTCTCCTAAATATTTGTAGTTATGTAGTAATAATATAAAAAAAAAAACAGAAAAACAATGTAAAAGATTTATCATAATAGAGTGTAATCAGTGAGGATCGAAGAAAATAAATACAGTATAAATATTTTTCTGTACAAGTACAGAACGTCTCTTGTATCAAATCATCTAGTCAAATGACTACTTAGTAAAAATGAATTGCCGGTAATGGCAAACAGCATGTATATTACAACGTGATATTTACTTATATTCTTCAATAACTTTCCAAATGATCTCTCTGCCATTCAGAGTTTAATGTTAATATACTGTAGGTATGATAATGTGCTGTACATATTAATGAATCCAACACTTTATAATTTGATTGTAAAAGTTTATTCCAAAGATGAAATAATTGTTCGTTTTAATAAGAAATATTAAGAGAATTATATACAGAAGTTCAGAAATGGAAACTGGTTGGTTGGTTCGCTTCGGGTTTTTTGGTACAGGAGCATATATGGCTCTTGTACAAGAGCCATATACGTTGCTGTACCAAAAAAACCAAAAGGCTCTCTACAGGCTGAGCTGTGCCAAGGCAAATGGTAAAAAATTTTAAACATGACAAATAACAAACATATGACAAAAATCAATAAATAAACAGCAGCAACAACAACAATTACAAATTTATACATAATAAGAACAAACAAATAAACAATAAAACACAAAAATCTGATTAATAAATAAATATATATATATAAATAAATAATTAAATTTCTTTATACAAATTTGTGACTTTTAAAAAGTCCAATACATTATAAAGATTGAACCTCTGGCCCAGAATCTCTGTAAAACTTGCATTTCCAAAATGCTGTTTACGCATGGTCTCAAGGGCAGCGCAATCGAGCAGTATGTATTTAACACTTAGAAAGCAGTTGCAATATTTGCATACTGGCTGCTTCTCACCCTTCAAATGTACTGATGAGTCAACCGAGTATGCGCAATTCTTAAACGAGTAAGAATAAACTCAGATTTCCTGTCATACTGTTTATTATGTGTCCAATTTTCCATCATAGGTTTGATCTCGTGTAGTTTATTGTGGATTTGTGCATTCCACACATTTTTCCATCTCCCTGCTAGACAGTTTTTAAACTAGCCTCAAGTCAGCTCCTTCAATAAACATTGTATGCTGAGAAGGACCTGCTAAGTTTACAGTTGCGTCATCTTCTTCATTCCCTCTAATATACCTACATGGCCTGTGACCCAACAAAATTTTATAGAGAGATTCCTTGCAAGACGATGGCAAATCACATTATGGATATTAATCACTATGGAGTGAGAACTAGGTTCACACGAGATCAAACCTGAAGTTCACTAACTGAGTCAATGTAAATCAATCAGCAATGATGACCTTTCCTATTTATGTACTTTAGGGCTAAATAAATAGCCTGCAACTCGGCAGAATAGATGGAAGAATTCGGTTCTATTTGTTCTGCCACGATTTCATCCTGGCAAACAAAGGCTGAGCCAACATAGTTATCTGATTTAAATCCATTTGTGTAAATAGGAATTAAATTCCTGTCACAATGTTGAATTTCTGCAAAGTGCTGTCTGTAGACATAATCTGGCGTGATTTCTTTGGGGAAGTGCTTCAAGCTTAAGTCAACATTTATCGGTGGGGTTGACCAAGGTGGAATACTATTAACCTTAACCTGTGAGATGTTGCTTGTGTCCAGGTCAATCATGCTGCTTACATTCTCCATTCTTATGTCGAACGAAGGAACACTACTTGGGCGAGCTTCAAATAACCTTTTCAGCTGAGTATCTGATACTGTACTGTACAATCAACTGAAGGTTTAGTATGAAATTTCTGTTTTATAAAATGAGAAAAAGACATCTGTTCCCTCCTAACAGCTAGTGGAGTCATAAGCATACATGTACAAACTTTGGACAAAAGAAGTTCGAAAAGCACCAGTGCACAAACGTAATGCTTGATGGTGGATTGGATCCAGCATCTGAAGAGTAGATTCTCCTGCAGAGCTATACACAACGCATCCATAATCCAGCTTACAGCTGACAAGGGCCCTATAAATCCTGAGTATAGGACATTTGTCTGCTCTTCAGGATGAGCAGCACAGTACCTTTAAAAGGCTCAGATTTTAAACATCTACTCTTCAAATTGCTCAAATGTTGTAAGAAGGTTGGTCAAATATTTGTAAGAAAGTCCGTTTTTGGTCAAATATAGCAACTAAAAACTTAGCCTCCTTGACCATTGGGATTTTATCCCCATTTAGGTAAATTTCTGAATTCAGGTGCATACCACACCTTTGGCAAAACTAGATGCACAAGGTCTTCTCTGTGCTAAAAGTAAAACCATTGATCTTGGACCAATTGTCTATAGACTCTATACGATATAGGAGGGTTTGCAGTTGTTTCTCAATGAAACTCATGTTACTAGACTGGCAGGAGATCTGAAAGTCATCCACTTACAGAGAGTGTTTCACACTAGGAGGAAGACAGTTAGCTATGATGTTAATTTTAATTTGGAACAGAGTCTTCCTTAATACAACCTTGAGAAACACCTTCTTCTTGTGTGAAAAGCCTAGATAAAGTGTTGCCCATCCTGATTTGAAATCTTCGATTCTGTAAGACGTTTTCTATAAAAATTGGCAAATTACCCCGCAATCCGAATTGGTGCAGATCACGGAGTATCCCGTATCGCCAACAGCGATCGTAGGCCTTCTCTATATCGAAAAAAAAAACACTGACACTAAGTGCTGTCGTCTAACAAACGCTTCGCATATAGATGTTTCAAGGTTTACTAAGTTGCCTGTGGTACTTCTGTTCCTACGAAAACCACTCTGATGTGATGAAAAGAATTCCTTTTTCTCTAAGAGAGACATCAGACGTCTGTTTACCATTCTCTCAAAGAGTTTACACAGGCAACTTGTCAGAGAGATTGGTCTGTAATTGGAGGGATTCTTGCGGTCTTTACCGGGTTTTGGAATGGGAATAATAATTGATAGTCTCCAAGAGTCAGGAAAAGTATGTTCTGTCCAAACTCTGTTAAACAGATTTAGAAGATTACAATGGGAATTGTCTGACAGATTTTTAATCATGCTGTAGTGGATTTTATCCTGTTTTACAACAGTATTCCCCGAGCGAGAAATCGCTGTTTGTAATTCAATTCTGGTGAATAGCACATTATATTCCTCGTTAGATGAGGAATGAAAATTTAAATTTTGTTTTTCCCTTTGGGTTTTATCAGCCTGAAAATTCCCTGAATACATAATATTGCTGGATGAAGAAAAACAACTTTCACCCAACGTATCAGCAATACCCTGTATATCGCTAATTATTGTGCCATTATTTTCTAGCATAGACAGAGAGTGAAAAGCATATTTCGCATTGATTTTATGGATTTTATCCTTGACTATTTTTGAGCTGGCAGAAGAGGTTATGCCAGAAACATACTTCTTTCAATAATCCCTTTCGCTTTGCCTTCTTATTCTTCTGGCATATCCTTTGCTTTTTTAAAAACAATCAATTTGTTAGCAGTGCGGTAGCTTCTGAAAATCCCGTGCTTTCTTTTGTTTTTTAATTGCTGCCTCACAATTCTGATCCCACCATGGTTTAGAATGCTTTGGATATTTGGTTGATGTTTTTCCATTGTTTTTTCAGCTGCCTGAATAATACTGGAAGTGACAACTTTAACTGCATCATTGATATCAGCAGTATTGACCATTTCCTCAGTGATGTCAGCCAAAGAGGAGAAAATAGGCCAATCTGCCTTTTCAAGTTTCCAGCGTGATGGACAGGCTGTTTCACAGCTTTTTCTGCCTTGATATTTTAGAAATATTGGAAAGTGGTCACTAGAGAGTGGATTAGATTCAACCTCCCATGAAAATACTGAAAACAGGTTTGGACTTGCTAATGATAGATCAATGGCAGTGAATGTTCTTGTTGGAACATGGAAGTATGTCACTTCTCCAGTATTCAATAAATACAGTTGCAAATTGCCTATGAATGTCTCGATGGCTCTGCCTTGACAGTTGATATCGTGACTGCCCCAAGTAAAAGTAATGGAGTTGGCAGCTGTTCAACTAATGCATCCTCATTGTCTCTGACACTGGAGGCAAGTATATAGAACAAACTGTGACAGTTATGCTAATTGAAATTCTGACTACCACATCTTTCTTTCTTTCTTCTTCGATGGTGTTTATATGGAGATTATAGCTCAATGTAGGCTCTTTCTCCGAGTAGACTTGTGTAAGTGTATGATCGCTAGGTGATCGATTAGCCGGCTGTATCGAACAGCCATACGTACGCGCGGGAAATAAATCGGGAGGACTTTTATGGGGAACTGGCCTCCTATTCAGTCGTTATAGGCAAGGAGAAAACCCGGAAAACTCCAAGCAGCCAGCCTGTCCGACCGTGGCGCGAACCCACGACGAACCTCCCAGTCTTCAGGGTCTGGTCACCACTACGATGAGCGGCAACGGAGACCACTCGCCCACTGGTGGGGGCGACTACCACATCTTTCAGCTTTGTTGTTATTTGTACCGGCAAGGATGGGATGCGATTGGAAACCAGAATAGACACACCGCCATTGGCATGGTTGTGGCTATCATCATCCTTGCAGTAGAGATCGAATCCTTTTAAACAAATATTTTCTCCAGGTTTTAGATGGGTTTCCTGGAGTGCCACACAGAGAGATTAGATAGACGATGTCAAGTGTTTAATGTCAGAGAAGTTGTTGTGGAAACCATGACAGTTCCATTGGATTATTTTGCAGTCATTATATATTTGAAGCAGCATTCTTTGGGAGAGTATACCTCTTTAATCTCACAGGGGGTTTTTCTTTTGGATGTGATGTTGGTTGTGTCACCTCCTTATTAGTCTCTTCATCAGAAATATCAAAATACTCACTCATAGAGTAAGCCTCTTATTTTTTACATTTAGAGAGAGCCGCTTTCACTCTCTGTTTGTTTAGTGGGTTCTTATTAGCCTTTTTTGAACCCAGGTTTCTTGTTATTACCCCTGTTTTAGGTAGGGATGTTTTTGGTTTTATACTCTCCTTTTCTGATGTTACTTTTGATAGAATCAGTAAACACTTCGCATACCGAGTGAGAGATGCCTTTAGAAAAACAGAAATATTGGTTTGAACTCCACATGTCTTTGCGGATTTCAAAGCAGCAGCAAGTGTCTTTTTTTAGTGGTGCACTTGAAGTGACCATGTGACGCGCCTCTGAATAAGGTAAGTTCTTGACTGTTTTCACATGCTGGAGTTCTTTTTCTGTCTGCCATGCAGGGCATTTCTGGGAGTAGGAGGAACGTGCGTCTTTGCAATTCACACAGCATGGAGTAGTGGTACACTCAGTACTCTGGTGACTTTCAATTCCACACTGTGCACATACATTCTTCCCTCGACAGGATGCTTGTGAATGTCCAAATCGCTGGCATTTGAAACAATGCAGCGGGTTTGGAATGTATGGACGAACTGGACAGCACAGGTATCCTGCAGTAATGAAAGATGGCAATGTTGGCTTGTTGACTTTGAGGAAAAGTTGTTTGGTTGATATCAACTTGCCATCTCGACAAATGGAGATACGTCAAACAGCAGTGACAGCTTGGTCTGAAAGGCCAATCCGAATATCTGACTCTTCTTCAGACATCAGATTAACCTCAGATATCACACTACAAGATGAGTTTAAACTTCTGTGTGCTGTGACAGTCACTTCTATGTCTCCCAGTGTCTTTGTTGTTAAGAGTTTTGCCGGCTGTTTAGGAGAAGCTGTTTCTATGAGTAAATCTCCTGATCCTAATTTTTGTATTTTTTTCAAATGTCCAATAGCCGATTCAAACAATTTTTGTATTAGGAAAGGGGAGCATTTCGATAAAGGTTTTTTTCCAGATGCATGTACAGTACTATCAAATAAGCAGGTTGACTGGAATTGTTTTCTTTGTTTCTTGGTACTTGATCTGGTTTTTGTTGTTTTATGGTTTTTGGATCCATATTGAGAAATAAATATTCAGCTCCTAGTGACCCCATCCATCATGGGGCCCAACAAGAAGATGCCACTACATGGAAGACTCCCACAGACTGTCACACCAGGGTTTCCCAGGAGATATACTCTCACAATGCAGACAAAAAGAGCACATCTGGACTGACATGACAAAACTGTCAAGCAGGGACAGGTCCGCCTGGTCTGCATCGAGCGGTTGACTCCAGGCCATGGTCATGACTCAGCGACTAGCCGATTGACTCAAATGGAGCCTGATTTGAGCCTCCCGTTTATCTAAAGCACGGGCCAAAGGAGTGTGTTGAGGACGTTACGTTGCCCCTCAACTACCAGGATACCCCTTTCCGGCATACGGGGCACCACGCACGGCAAACACGTGGGTGGGCGTTCAGATCCCAAGAATGGTAAAGAAGAGTGACTAAACCATCTCTGGGAAGTTCCCTCACCACGGACAGGAACCCACATCGAGAGGGAAATGGAAATTGCCACATCTTATTTAATATACACTAAAATAATTCAATCAGAAATCAATTTAATACATAACAAATTCTTACCACATAACTGTTGTTACTATTTTCAATATCATCAGAGATATGACTTTGAGTACTTTCACATATTTTATCATCGTTCAAAAGAGCAGTTTCTAATTCTATCCTATTTTCAGCGATTTCATTATCAGACGAAATTCCTGTAAGCATTTTTAAATTTTCTACTCTATTGTAATTTCCAACGATTTCATATTTTTCCTAAAATAAATTTATAATATATATAAATATAATCGTTTTTAAAATAATTTAATATATAATTATATAAACAATGTGCAAAGATATACAAATACAGTAGAACCTCGATTATCCGGACTAATTGGGATGAAAGTAGTCAGGATAAGGAAAAATCCGGATAATCGAAACAAATACTTTAATTTGTCTTTTAATGATAATACAACACGTTTTCTTTTCGATGACATATAAAAGTAAATACTGTATTTAAACCGTGATCAAATTGTCAAGAAACAAATGTTTGTATTGAATTTGGACTACTACTGACCAAAGCTAACAGACTACCTATTGTTTAAAAGGCCCTCTGGTGGCGCAAGAAGACGGATTTTATAAAATAAAAAGCAGTTGAAACTGCATTTTTATG